TGTGTGGTGAAGTTCAGGAGACGCTGGGATGTGACGAAGCAGCAGCTGGGAAGAAGAAGCTGTTGTGGGAGTCTGTGTGTCAGACAGGGTACTACTGTGTGTCAGAGTACCAACCTGATAGGTTCAGGTGTCTGTTGGTTAGCCAGAACTGATAGGTTCAGGGTCTGTGCTTCAAGTTAAGGGTTCTGTGTGAACCAAACTGTATGCATGTATGAATGAGAATAAGCCACGTTACTTTATCTTATTCACCTGATCATTTTATTTTCCCTGTGTGTGATTTAAATAAACCTTGTTCTTTTATTTGTTTAAAAATCCATCCCTGGTCTGTGTGACTTCTTATAGGGAATGGTTGGTGGCAGCTTAGTTAACGTGTGGCAGATCCCAGTAGGTCTGGGTTTGTCACAGATGAAGGCCCCGTTTCTGGTTGACGACTTCCGGGCCTCTCTCAGAGTGGCTGTCCAGCACAGAAAAGATTAGAAGGTGCAGGTAGGACGGGAGGATGACTGAAGGAACAGTTGAGTGTGGTTGGAAGGGATTTATTTATTTAAATTGGCCTCCCCAGCCCTCATGCCTTCCAGCATCATTAAATACATTCATAAAAGCACCAGTGTTGACTTTAGTTTCTAAAACGTAAAGATTGTGGATTGGAGCTCTTTGGCTAAGCCCGGGACTATGAGGACTAGAAACATCTTGTCACTTGGAAACTGCTTGAAATTCTTCTGTTTTTTTTTCTCAAATTCCCCCACATGTCATTTCTCCCCTTTTTAGCTCCTAAAGAAGCAGAGAGGAGCATCTACCAAAAAATCCCTCTCCAGCGAGCCGGGAATAAGACGGAGATTGCCCACAGCGTGCTGTATCTGGCCAGTCCTTTGGCGTCGTACGTGACCGGGACGACTCTGGTGGTGGACGGCGGTGCCTGGATGACTACCGAGAACAACTTTCCCGCACTGTTGGGTATTGCCTCACACTCTGCTAAGCTCTAGGTGATGTTTCTTTCCCGCTCTATGGGAATAGATAGCCCATAAGAAATCAGTATCCGCTGATTCGCTTATCCATGGTCTGAAAATATTAAAAGAAAAATCTTAGAAATATATATTTCTACGATGTCATTAACAGACCTGGCCACTAGAGGGAGCCAGAGACCAGGCTATACCTACTGTCGATGGTGCATTCTAAGACTCTGTTGAATTAGCAATTAATGGGTGAGATTAACTGATTAAAAAAACAGCTGGGCAGAAGTTAAAGGGGGATCTATAAGTAATTGCCTGTCAGTATCCCAGGGAGAGGTAACGACTCTATAGTTAGCACTTACATTATTTGTTTTTAGTGTCGAGTATCTTGGAGCTAGTTGGGACTTACTCCCAAGGAAGCGCAAACAGGATTGCAGGCTGTGTATATTATGCATGTAAATAATGGATGATGCATTTGGTTTTTTGTGACTCAAATGCATTGCCTGTTGGAAGTTTGTCTTGCTTTGAGTCTTTATGGGTCCCTTTTCGAAAATAACATTCTAGCTAACACGGTCTTTCTTTGGGGTTTTTTTGTGTTTTTATTCACATTTTCTTTGTCAGGAACCGGGTGCTTTTTAAAATCCCAGTCTGTGAACGGGCTGGTCTGGAGAGTAACACCTGAATCGGCCGCGTGAATTTCAAAATACAGATTTTCCTTACCTGTCTAGTGGGAGACCTCGTCTGTTCCTAACTCTTTCTTCCCTCTCTGTGCTTCGAATTTGTTATCCATTCCGTCCACTCTCCTCTTGTTTCTTACAGATTTCTGGAGCACAGAGTTAAAAGAAGACAAATGAAAGAAGGTCCTCTGAGCTTCACGGAGAAGACACTGCAGTTTAAATGGTTCCCCACGGCCGCCTGCCCACGGCCGAAGGCAGCGCCCACACCTCCTCTGTAGCTACAGGTTAGCTTAGCTTGCCAGGAAGACAGCCATGGAAAAGTTCTAAGATTATACCTCTTGGTATCACAAGAGAACAGGTTAGCGATGATAGTGAAGGAGCCGGAACAAGGGGTACATGTGGTCTTCCAGATGTTGCTTAACCATCACTCCCATCTTTCCTCACCCACTGGCTCTCTGGCTAAGGCTGATGGGAGATGTTGTCCTGACAGCATCTGGAGAGCCACCTGTTTTCCCCACCCAGAGCGACCAACTACAGTGGTGCCTCGCGTAACAAGCGCACCATTTAACAACGGATCCGCATAGCGACGTGTTTTTTGCGATCGCTAATGCGATCGCATTGCGATGTTTAGATAGGCTAAACATCGCATTGCGATGATCGGTAAGCGTTTTGCTTACCGATCTTCGCATTGCGATGTTTAGAAAACAGCTGATTGACTGTTCCAAAATGGCCACCGGGTCAGCAAAATGGCCGCCCGCAGCGTTTTCGCGCCCTACCCTCGCTTACCGGGCAGTGAAAATGGCGGCCAGATGGGGGAATCTTCGCTTACCGGTGAGTTTTCCCTCCATAGAAACGCATTAAACAGAGTTTAATGCATTCCTATGGGGTCCCCCCCCCGCATAGCGATGAATCCGGATAGCGACGTTAATCCTGGAACGGATTAACGTCGCTATGCGGGGCACCACTGTATTTTGTTCTCACCCATTAGCTTTCTGTCCCATGCCAGTTATGCCCAGTCTGGTACAAAACGGCTGTCTGGGTAGGTGGAGTTCAAGAAGAGACAAAACCCATTGTATCTTCTAGATATATATTTGGTTAAGGTTTAAAATGTTTTACCAGTCTTAGCGTCTTTTGCCTTGCCCGTGAGGTCTGCCATCAAAGCCTTACACCAGGAAAGTAATGAATTGTTTCCATCAATCCAGCCCGGATTCTCCCAGCCTCTAATCTGTTGTGATTTCTGGACCAAACAGGATGATTCTGCGCTTTCTTTGCCAATGTATTTTTTTTTTTTGATAGCTAAAATAACTCCCTCCTCAAAATAGGTTCTCTTATATCTTCTCTAATAAACTCCATTTGCAATTCTTGCCTTTGGGGAGGTTTCCAGTTTTACCGTTGGTCTGTTTCTGAGAGAGGGAAGCTCAGGCTGCCCCAGTCTGGAAGCTTCTTGTTGTTGTTGTCTGCTGTGTGATTGGAGGTGAGGATACTGAAAGGTGTTCCAATGTGCCGCATAAATCTGAGCTGCGCTTTGCATGCAAGGAAGCCAAAGAAGGAAGCAGAGCTGTGCTTTGCAGGCAGAAGATACTGTTGCGTGGAGTGAGCTGCGCTTTGCAGGCAGAGGAAGCTGTTGCCTAGAATGAGCTGTGCTTTGCAGGGAGAGGAAGCTGTTGCCTGGAATGAGCTGTGCTTTGCAGGCAGAGGAAGCTGTTGCCTGGAATGAGCTGCGCTTTGCAGGCAGAGGAAGCTGTTGCCTGGAATGAGCTGTGCTTTGCGGGCAGAGGAAACTTGCCTGGAATGAGCAGAGGAAGTTATTGCATGGAGCACAGCTGTTGTGGGCAATAAACATGCAGAGAGTTGAGTGGTGCGTTGCATTTCACGAGAGGATGTCTAACCAGGTAAGAATTACTTCAAACTCCACAGGCTCTTCCTTTGGCCTTTAACCCCTCCTTACCTCCTCATCTGCTGCTGGAAGGTGGCCCTCACACATTTTCCCCAAACTGGATTTTGGCCCAGGCCGAAATGTTCTTCTTATCCTGTTTTCTAAAAGGTCAAGCTTGTATAGTCGGGATCTCTTCTCTCTGCTGAGGGAATTCCCTTGGATTTTAGTTTTGCTTTTTCGGCACCCTCAGGAGTGGGGCTTGGACCTGACCCACCGCGGATACCACGGTTCTGTTCTACTCTCCACAGGAGAGTAACTACAGCTCCTAAGTTGAATAAATGGGGAAGGCCCATTTGTTGACCTTCTATATTTGCCTTCTATAGGCATCTATATTTGATGCCTTCGAAGGCAAAAAGGGAGAATTCTGGCTCACGGAGGAAAAGGCAACATTCTACCTAGTCTCTCCTTTAATTACCCATTAAGTCCGGTACCCTCTTCAGCCCCATGCCTACGACATGCCAAAGGAAGCATGCAAGGACTGGATCTTCCTTGGTTTCTTCCTCTCACTTGGTAGATGAGAGTCAACTGAATCATGGACAGGTTGCCCATCGTTAGCTTTGGCGATGCGGCTGCAGCTGGAAATGACGCGCTGGCATTGCCTCATCTCTGATGAACCAGAATAATTCTAAACCATGTTGCCTTACTTGTGGTGTTAATTGTCTCCAGAAACTCAGTGAAGGCAGCTCAGTTTCCTTAAGAGTCAGGTATTGAGTTTCTGACCAACATGAATTTTGACCCAACTCCGGGAGGCAGTGGAAGACAGGAGGGCCTGGCGTGCTCTGGTCCATGGGGTCACAAAGAGTCGGACACAAGTTAACGACTAAACAACAATCAGGTTTCCTGGTGCCATCTCTTTACCCTTTACTCACAGTTGTGCCTCTGTGTGTGGAAGAGGAGGTGCTGCCCTGTTTTAAGGATAAACTTAAGTTTTCTAATCATTTGGGTTTCCCAGCCCTACTTTACAGCTGCTGCGCTGGTAAAAGGAGAAGGAGCGGAAAGCACAGGGTGTCCACTGAGAATCCATCGCCTCATTAAACGCGCCAGGACGCGCTGATCTCTTTAGGCTGACCGCACAAAAACCTGGTGTGCTCCTTTTAAAATGGAGACGATTGAAAAGTTAGTAGTTGTTGAATTTAACGTATGACTCTGTTCTGCGGCTTGGGACTCCCTACCTGCTTCCTGGTTTGGCCGGCCCTCTGCACATGGGGTGGCTCTGTGCAGTTGATCGTAATTTGTTCACTCACGGAGTAAGCATAGTGATCGCAAAAACCAATCGTCTTGCGGGTTTTTTGTCCTGCGAGGCAATCATCTAGCGAGGCACCACTGTATATGAAATAACTATGTAGTATAATCAGCTTCTTTTTGGTGGGGTTGCTGGTGAAACCAGGTGCAGTGGGTGCACCTCGCTTTCAACGAGAATCTGTTTCTGGAAGCTTCTAGAACCACCGATTCTAGAGAGTGCCAGGGACTCCGAAACGGGCCCGGTGGAGGCCGTGGGATTCTACCCTCCAACCTACAAAATCTGCCACAAGCGCTGGCACGCTGCTTCAGCGCCCACCCCTGCCATGTCTGTCAGCAGGCCTTGCAATCACTCTACCAGGCCCCGCTTGCTTGTAGGCGGGTTTCTACCCTTCCCTCCCTTATCCTCGCTGCCCGCAATGTTGTCAAGTGAACCGTTGCTAGGCGATTAATCCTCCCTCCCCCTCTGTAACCAATGGGATTCCTGACGCTTGCTCCCCGGCAAGCCCCACAACTCTATGGAGAGGCTCTTCCTCATCGCCATAGCAACCAGCAGGTGATCCGAGAGCATCATCGCTTGGAGGTGCCCGCCTTAGGGCTGGTGAGGGCAACAGTGATCTTTTCGTAGAATGACAGAGCCGGTCCTGTCAGGGAGGACAGCTTTCCTAAGCATGTGTTTCGGCAGTGTGGAAATCTCAGGAAAATGCAGATTTAGGGGATCAGCGCAGCTGCAATCAGTCCTTGGAGGCGTGCTGCGTGGGCGCCGGTGGTTTTGCCGAATCACTATCATTTTAAAAAAGATATAGATCTTAAAAGGATAATTGGTATTAAGGGAAGAATCTTCTCTTAATCAGATGACATGTTTGAATGTCGAGGGCCCGACGTTCAGGCATTCCCGGTTGGAAGGGCTATATATTCGGTGATGGAGCAAGGCCTTATCCAGGCCCTTCTTGGGCCAGAATCCTAGAATATCAAACGATTTCTGGAACTAACGCATTGATAGTTTTGGTGCTTATCGTACGCCACCATCCCAGGCCTTAGCATGTGAGCAGAAGTTCGGGTTTTCTCCGTCAAAATCACCCCCTGCACCATCAGTTTACACTGCATGGTGGGGAAGAATGTTTTCCTCCACGTGTGCTGAGCAAGATGTCTCTCCTGGACTACATCTCCCAGGATCCCCCGACCTGGCCTTTGGCTTCCTCCTGTTCCAAAACTTGGAGAGTGGTTGCCAGCCAAAATTGAAAAGTGCTTCCTTCGCTCTGGCATTGCAATGTTTTTAGACTCTGAGCACCGACATCTCTGGGCATTGACCACGTTGGCTGAGGATGATGGGAATCGAAGGCTACACCTCTCTGCAGGGTGCCAAGCGGAAAGTGGGAAAACTGGCGACAGGATTCTGGAAATTGTAGTTGAACAAATCTCTCTTTTCCCCAAGCAGTTCCTTGTGCCAGGTCAGGGGAAACCGGCGTAGATAATGCTGGGCTCAGTGGATAGCCACCGAGTGATAAAAGGCTGTAGGCCCTTTGATGGTGAAATTAAGACATATTTTCCCTTCCTTCCCTTTCTTGCACATTCTCAGTGTCAAATTGTAGATTGTGACCTCTTCGTTCTCCTTCCAGTTCCTCCTACTGCCATACGTTTTGATGATTGCTGTGCCGAGTGCGAAAACTGAACAAAAGATATTTCTTGATTGTGAACCATAGAAAAGAAGACCAGGGAGGGTGGGTTTGGAGTGACTGACAGGGGACACAATCCAGCAAATATCTAGGACGAGTGGGAGGCTGCATGGAGAGGGGAGATCCACCACTTTCGAGATTTACTGCCAGCTGTCCATATAAAGATCTGATCCAGGACCGAAATCTCTCCGAGGCAAAAGGGATAGGAAACCTTTCGCCGTCCGGATGTTATGGACGACAACTCTCATCGCTCCATCGCCTCCGCTACTTGTTGGGGTGAAAGTCCAAACCATTCTGGGACATCCTGGGGATGCTCCTGTGATTTCAAGGGAAAGGCAGCAACCATAAAGATCTGATCCAGGACCGAAATCTCTCAGAGGCAAAAGGGATAGGAAACCTTTTGCCGTCCAGATGTTATGGACAACAACTGTCATTGCTCCATCGCCACCGCTACTCATTGGGGTGAAAGTCCAAACCATCCGGGGATATCCCGTGGTGCTCCCGTGAATTCAAGGGAAAGGCAGCAACCCGCTGGCTTGGCATCCCCAACGGCGTCCTGCATTCTCTTGAGTGCGGCGGATCCTTGTGTTGCCAAAACTGCACCATTCACGCTCGAGAAAGAGAGCTCTAGGTTTGGAAGACCTTGGGTTTCGCAGAAGTGCAAAACGTTTTGCCAGAAAGGGAGCCGGGAACAGCCCAGTGAGGGCTGAGTCCTCTCGGTGGCTGCAGAGTCCTGCCTTCTGCTTTGA